CTTTATGAAGCCATCTCTTTACATGGGCTTTGGTGGAGGTCGTGGTGCAGCACCCTGAAAAAAAGAGATGAACTAAATTCAAAGAAGGTATTTAAGCCTGGCGAGGCAGCCTACTTAATCCTAGGTTAGCTAGGGCCACAGTGAAACCGTGTGAAAAATAAAAACCCAAACCCGCCCACCACAAACGACAGAGCATTTACCAGCAGCAAGCTGAAGACCTAGATGTGGTCCCCAGCATCACAACAACCAAAGAACCCAACCATCACTGCTAACCATGGTTTCAGGCTATAAACAAATTCAGGACAGACACCACTCCATTCCATTGGAAACAGCCCACCAACTCTTGAGAAAGCAAACATTTTAAATGTAGGTTACACCTCTCACAGCACACTCAGGCCTGAAGTGGACACTTTTCTGGTTAAGACCCCATGTCTCAAGGAAAAACATGCAAGATTTACTTACAGCAGGTCTAAATCGTGGTGGGGGTGTCCGGTCCTTGCGGGCTTCTCGGGATCGATTCCTGACTACCTTGCTATGAATAGCACAGCTCACGCAGTAATGCAGCTTGACATAGAGCTTGGGAAGCACATAGGCTGACCAACAGAGAAGCAATTCAGATAGATGTCCATTTCTCACCATCCCCTCCTATTCTATCGGTCAACGTTATCTGAACCAACCCTAAATAACAATACCCCCCGCAAATCAAACCCACCTTGCCACCATGGAAACACATATCACAGCCTACATATGCTGAGATAAAAGTCCATCTCTTGGACGAGATGTTGCCACTGAAAAGGCCAAGAAACATAGCTCAAGCTGGGGAGGAGAAAACTCAACTCCGCTTGCAGGTATAACGCCCAACTACCATTCTCGTTAAAAAACAAACAAAAACACCGGCCAGGCGTTGTGGCGCACGCCTTTAACCCCAGCACTAGGGAGGCAGAGGCAGGCGGGTTTCTGCTGTGAATTCGAGGCCAGCTTGGTCTTCGTAGTGAGTTCCAGAAACAGCCAAAAAACCGAAAACTGATAAACTGCCTGCACTCTGCCTTATTTACAACTCAATCACAACATGTTTTAGGAGTAGTTTAATGAACTACGTCTGTCAGATGTTTATCCCTTACAGCTCCCTTGGACTCCCCTCTCCCAAACAGGTAGTCACAGGGATGGATGGGATGCAGGCAGGGTTTGCCTACCATGCATGCACGAGCCTCGATCTGCACCCCAAATGGAAAAAAACAAACCCCAAGCGCAAACCTCGGCGCTAATCCTGTCTGACTACGCCACGAAAGGAGCCCTCTGCCCCGAGCTGAGCAAGCCAGCGGGAGCCAGGCACACCCCGTCTCACTCACCGTCGAAGACACTGGCTTCGGAAATGTCCCTGACCGCGGCGGCCTCGACGATGTTCCGAATGACGAACTTCTTGATGGCCTTGTCTTTGGGCACGCACCGGGCGCAGTTCGTGCAGCGGATCGGCTGCACGTGGCCGCGGCCCTTCTTGGCCCGGCCGTTGTTTCTCCTTTTTTTGGTCTGAGCGTGAGGAAGGCAGAAGAAGACACGCGACTCAAGACGGGGCGCGACGCCCGCGGCTCAGCCCTTTCCGCCCCGCAGGCCCCTGGCACTGCAAACCCGGGCTCCGAGGGGACGCCTGGCCACCCCCGCCTCCGAGCCGCCGCCTCCCCGGCCCCCGCAGCCCCAGACCCCGCTTTCCGCCCGGGCGCAGCCTCGCGCTCCCTGCACGCGGCGCCACTCACCATCTCGGAGCCAAGACCCGAAAGAGGGCCCGGCCCCGCGCCGGCCGCCCTTATATAGTCCGGGATCCCTACGCTCGCGCCGGGGAGGGAAAAAGAAACCCGTAGAGATGTGCAATTCCAGTTACTCTTCAGCAGCCACCGTACTCAGATTTACCTAGTGGTGTAGCGCTCCCGCCGAGACGCAGGGTCAGAATAAGTCCCTACAGATTACCTGGGGAGCCAAGCACCAGCGGGACTATTTAACCGGCTGGCGGAAGACTAAAATGTGATACGTTTTACGAACCGGGAAGTAGTTCTAGGCACTATAACATCCGGTGTACGTTGTCTCCAGAGCGGAAATTGGCCGGAATTCGGCCTCCGGACGCTCCCTCCCTGTTCCAAGAGGCCTACAGAGGTGCATTGTGGGAGTTGTAGTCTGACTCCCAGCGGTCCCCGGCCCGGAGTGCATTGTGGGAGTTGTAGTGTGACTCCCAGCGGTCCCCGGCCCGGAGTGCATTGTGGGAGTTGTAGTGTGACTCCGAGCGGTCCCCGGCCCGGAGTGGACGGACTGAAGGCGGCGCTACACCACCGTGAGACGCCATGGCTTCGTTTCTTTGAAATTGGATTCTAGGCGGACCAGGAGGAAATAAACCATTTTGTAAATTAATCCTTCCAAATAAAAGGTTCAAGCAGGGCGGTGGTGGCGCACGCCTTTAATCCCAGCACTCTGGAGGCAGAGGCAGGCGGATCTCTTTGAGTTCGAGGCCAGCCTGGGCTACAGAGCGAGCTCCAGGAAAGTCATAGCTACACAGTGAGACCCTGATTCGAAAAACAAACAAATAAACCCAATAAAAGCTTCAAATGAGGGCTGGAGAGATGGCTCGATGGTTAAGCGCACTGACCGCTCTTCCAGAGTTGACCCAGCTTCAGTTCCCAGCACCCGCATGGCAGCTCACACCTGTCTGTAACTCCAGTTCCAGGGGACCCAACACCCTCACACAGACACAGATGCAGGCAAACACCAATGTACATAAATTACAAATTTAAAAAAAAGCTTCAAATGAGACAAATTTTTCTTTTTTG